CAGTGTTTGATTTTCTGCTCTTCTGTCAGTTTGCTGAGAATGATGGTTTCCAGGTTCATCCATGTCCCTACAAAGGACACAAACTCATCGTTTTTGATGGCTGCATAATATTCCATGGTGTATATGTGCCACATTATTTTACCTCTTTAATCTTTGTTTTTTTTTTTTATTGGTAGAAGTGGTTAAGAATATTTCTAAAACTTATTCTGAGGAATGAGTGGGAGTTGTTAAACTGAGATATTTGAACTACCTTCAGGGTGATTGTGAAACACTGAAACTGCAAGAAAACATTTGAAGGTTGTTTGGGTGATCATAGCTTTCATCAGTTCTCAAAGGAATTTGTGTGTTCATGAAACACTAAGAAGGGATACATAGGCGTTTGTAAATAAAACTTTGATAACACTTGAGAATGTGTCTAGTATGTCAATAATCTATTTCCTTCTTTCTGGAACCAATGATTAGATTAAAATTTCAAACAATATAAGATTTCATATTAAATGCTCTTTTATACCACATGTATGGATGCTTTCCACAGACAATGAGAAACAACACTCATTTTTGTTCTATACAGGCCTTCACTAGATTAAGCAAAGCCCATCCTCTGTGGGGAGAGCAATCTTCTTTGCTCAGTCGACTGATTCAAGTATTAATCTCATCCAGAAACACTCTCACAGATGCACCCAGGGTAATACTTAACCAAATATCTGAGTACCCATGGTTCAGTCAAATTAACACACAAAATTAATAGTCATAAAATATATTATGAAATAGCTGTCTCTAGAGGTAAAATACATATTCTTAATATAACTTAGCAGTTATTCATGCAATAGTTTACTTCCAATATTTAGTCTTCTAGAAACCACAATGGGAACATATGTTTCCTACATTAAATGCTTCCACGTTGACTAAAGATTGTTGATATCTAGTACTTTTATTTGTTCATAATCTGCTTTCTCCTGTTTTAATTTCCAGTTATTATCCTTGTAGAGTTTCATTTTGTGTAATGGGTTATTTGTTCTGCCCTGTTAAGTTGTACTATTTTTTCTGTAGTTTCTAAAAGTTTTTGCAAACCATTCAGCAATTTTCTCCAAACTTTACAAATCTTAATAAAGAAAACCTCAAAAATTATACAATGATTACATTTTTATGATTTGAATCAAGTTCAAAGTTAGTAACATAGAATTTGTAAACTAATTTTCAACAAAATTAAGTAAATAAATACTCAGAAACACACAGAAGTCTTACAGCAGTGATTGTGTGTCAGTTAACCCTGTTAGGTTGAGCATTCTGATTCTAAAAACCCAAAATCTGAAATGTTTCAAAATCCAAAACTTTTTGAGCACTGACTGACACTTATTACAGCTTTTGGGATTTGGAATTTTCAACAGGTAAGTATAATGTAAATATTCTAAATGCAGTATGAAATTTTCAAGATTTGACTGGTTTGACATACAACTTCAGCAGTTTCACCTAGTATAAACTTTGGATTTAGACTTATTTTTCAGTCTTTTCACTTAAAGAGACATTATCTCTTTTTTATAAAATATTACTTTTCCGGTTCTTTTTATGATGATTCTCTTATCCTTTAAGTTTTTAGGTAAAACTTCACTTTTTAAATGAAGTCTTTCTTGACTATACAATGTAAAAGCACCAAATCTCACCCCCAGTGAAATTCATAGTTTTTACTTCTTTAGATTTGCCAGTATCCGAATAGCTCATTTGTTTACTTATTAAAATTCCCTCTCTCAAAGGAATGTGCTTAATACTTCATATATAGAGACTGAGTATACTTTATCCAAAGTGGTTGTGACCAGAAGTGTTTCAGATTTGATTTTTTAAAAAATTTTGGAATGTTTACATTGTACTTATTGGTTGAGCATCCCAAATCCAAAATGTTCCAATAAAAATTTTCTTTAATCATCATGTGCTCAAAAGGTTTTGGATTTTGAAGCATTTCAGACTTTGGATTTTCAGATTTCCAGTGCTCAACTTGTAGTAATTACAAAATAAATGTTGAATAAATAAATGAGCTAATAAATTAATGTTTGTGCTTCTGTTGCTGTGTTAGTCCATTTATGTTGCTGTAAAGGAATACCTGAGACTGGGTAATTTACAAAGAAAAGAGGTTTATTTGGAGCCTCAGTTTGGCAGGATACACAGGAAGCATGGCACCAGGATCTAGTCAGCTTCTGGAGAGGGCCTCAGAGAGCTTACAATTATAGCAGAAGGTGAAAGGGAACCATGTATCACATAGCATGAAACATAGCAAGAGAGACAGGGAGAGAAGTGAGGCATCAGTGTCTTAAACAGATCTTGCATGAAATCAGAGTGAGAACTCACTCATTACCATGAGGAGCACCAAAACATTCATGAGGGATCTGCTCTCATGACATGACCCAAATACCTCCCATAAGGCCCCACCTCCAACACTGGGGTTCACATTTCAATGTAAGATTTGGAGGGCACAAACCTCCAAACTATATTAGTTGCTCGGAAAGATTATAGGAAAATTCTCTGGAATACATTGTACTTATTTTTTTATTTTTATTTTATTTTATTTTATTTTGCCTAAAATGAGTTTTAAAAACCCTTCTTTGATGATAAGAGGAAGCAAAAAGTTGAAAACCCCCAGGTACCTATAAATTAAGGGGAACAAAGGTGTAACTGTGGTGAGGAATGTGAGGGAGAGATGACTCTGGAAGAATCAGAAAAGGATTTCAAAAGTAAATGCTTTGGGGACATTATTATTCATGGGTTTGTCTCATTTTATACTGTTTGCAAACAAAGGCACTGGTTGCCATTTTTCCCCATTATATTTTCAAGGCTCCTTGAATAGCAAACGGCCTTGGTAGATATAGATATAATCCCCCAAACCCCCAGAGCAAATGGTAGCTTTGATCACTGTCTGGTATACTAAAGATAATGTCTCTTCCTGGGGCAAAGTCACAGAAAATATGAGTGCTTAGAATCAAACAATCTGGTTATGAAACCTGGTTCTGACACTTGCTGGTGAGGTATTTTACCCATTTTGGGAGTCAGATTTCTACTCCTATAAAACAGTTTTAAGAAAATATGCTTCAAGAACTGTTTAGAGAAATAAATAAGATCATGTGATGACTTGCACTATGTGTCTTATTCTGTTTTGCATGCTGCTGTAAGAGGATATCACAGACAGTAATTTGTGATAAACAGAAATGTGTTGACTCACAGTTCTGGAGTCTGTGAAGTTCAATATCAAGGTGCTGGAATCTGGCACATGGCTGCTTGGGGTGTTATCCTATGGTGGAAGGTGGTAGGGCAAAAGAGAGAGAGAGAGAAAGAGAGAGAGAGCCCACACCTAAAAAGCCCTTTTATAAAGGCACTCAACCCTCAATAATTCCCCATGGCCTAGTAATCTCTTAATTCTGTACAATGGCAATTAAATTTTAGCATGACTTTTGGAGGGGACAATCATTTAAACCATAATGGTTTAAATGATTTAAACCATAATGATTTAAGCCATAATGGTTTAAATCATTTAAACTGTCATAATGGCATGACAGGCGTATCTTTGGCGCACAATTCTAACTATTTCTATCCTTGTTTTATCTTCCTTTTTCTCTGACCTTCTTTTAACTGTCTTTAGAAAATCAAAATGTCCCCATTTCCTTAGAAGATCACAGCTCACCTCAAACTGATAAAGAAACTGATATTTATAGAACGTATCCAAATATAATCAGTCTAAATTTTTTTGGACAAAACTAACAAACATAAGTACAAAGTAGAGATTATAGAGGTGTAAGCAATTAGTTAAACTCCTCTCTCACAAAGCCTGTCTTTTCTATCTTTCACCCAGATATCTTTCCCTGATGTATCAAACATCTATTAAACCTTCACCAAGAGGGTGTATTGAGAGAGAAGAGGGGATGTACTACTGTGAAATGAATTCAGCTGCAGATAGTAGAAAACTCAATCAACAGTGGCTTCAAGAAGTAAAAGGTTTATTTGACTCAAGCAAAAAAAAGAAAAGAAAAAAAAGCCCAAGGTCATTTGATTTAAGTGTAACAAAGCCATTAAAGACCTTTCTAATATGCCACCCTCAAGATGCAGGCCTTCAGCTTCTACTGTGCCATCCTCAACATGAAGGTTTTCAGCTTCGAGCTTGTCTTTTCTTGGTAACATTAGATGTGCTGTGTGAATTACATCCATTTAACTTTGATACCTCTTGAACTCTTCAAAGTTCTTTCAAAATTCCTTAACAGCATTTACTGACCAGAGATCTGACTTCCTACTGGTATTTAGCCTCAGAGACATTTTATCCAGTGGGGAATGGGGATGTATTCCATTCAGAGAATGCTGAAGGCTGCCACCAGCCTTACACAGTTTTCTTTCCATCAGAAGATCCATGGAATTTTCTGTACCTCACTATGGGGCAAGATCAGGCACCAAGCTCTTTCATGTTCTCTGGTCCTTTGAAGTAGAATTATCTGTCTCTCTTTTTTACACTGACTAATACATTTATTATGTTGAAATTAAACAGATTTTGCAAGTGATCTTATCTCAGTTTACTTTCATTTTCTTCCTCTAAGAATACCAAGGAAAATACACCATAATCAAGAATGGCAGTTGCAATGGAAGGAATGACATGTGTTCTCCCCATCCCTTGGCACAGGCACAACTAGGTGGAAGCCTGTCAACTCCTAAGTTGAGGCCACCAGAAGGGGGTGGGTAAGAGGAAAAAGCACAGTGAGAGTATTTCTAACAGGCTTTAGAATTAGGCAACTGTTTACAGATACTAGATGATAGATAGATAGATAGATAGATAGATAGATAGATAGATAGGCAGATATTATATATATACACACACATATAAATATACACAGATACACACATATTTCAGAAAACACAAATTCTATGCCTGAGTAGTTACAAGTAGCTACAGCAGTTTCACAATGAATCCAGAATCTAGGTCTTTCCATTTTTCTGTGTGACTAACCATAACTAATGTTTCTTGCCCATAGTTACAAGACAGCTGTTGATGTTTCTGCCACCAGTAAGGAGGACCGGGAAGAAGCTGCTTTCCAGGAAATCCCAGTCAACTTCCAAATAGATCTCTTTGGTCAAAAATGTGTCACCCATCCAACTCTTTTTGTAAGGTAACCTGGGGAATAAAATATTTTTGTAGCAAAATTGGGGCTCTGCCAATAAGGAAGAAAGGGGAGATAGATATTGGGTAGATAACTAGCAGCATCCTCCATGTGATAAACTGGAATGGGAGACTATGCTAGCTTTAATAAATTATGTCTGCCTCCATTTGATAGCTCTTGTCACATGTTGAACTATTTTCTATTGAATCTAAGGAATGGACTTAAATTCCATTCAAGTTTTAAGTTTGAAATGAAAGTCCCACATTTGTTCCACTCTACTCTTATTATTTCCACCAAACCCCAAGTTTCTCCATTCTTTACCACTATGCTCCATAGTAATATATCCAAAGCCTTCAGTTATGGCCCAGTGAAATCCATAGCAGTCAAATAGTCAAAAACCAGACTTCCTAGAAAATCCACCTGAGATGATTAGTTAAAGCAATCTGAAAAAGCAAGATATTTCACTGCCTGCCACATAATGTTTCTCCAGCCCCAGCCCCTGTAAAAATAAAATATCTTTAATGGAAGCCAACTCATTACCCCATAAAATTACTACAACACATGTGCTTGAAAATGTAAGACAGATATTCTTAACTTGGCATGCCACAGTGAACCACAGAAATGTTCTCCAAGAAATGATTTCATTTTGTTGGTTTTATATTTAAAGTCACATTTTTGGCAGGCAATCCCAAAGACAAAGTTCCAAGAGTAAACTAGCCTATGGGATAGAACTCAGACTTTTGGTCACTTTCCCACATTTGTTTAAATAGCTTACCTGTCCTTGTATACCTGACATAATGATCTAGAAGCCTGGCTCTGTTCCTTCTAGTTGTAGACCTCTTTTTGCCATCTTTCCTTCTACCCTGCATACTGAGTGTAGTTTATTACTTTAGCACACATATGTGGGGTTATAAAACAGTCTAGATTTGAAGTGCTACTCTGGCACTTAATAGTAGTGTAACTTAGACAAATTGCATAACCATACTTTGCTTCAGTTTACTCATCTATAAAATAAGCATCATAATAACGTCTACATCATAAAACTGTTACAAAGATTGAATCAGTTAATATATTAAAGTTCTTAAAATAGTACCCAGCATGCAGTGTGATATAGGTGGTAGCTGTTATTATTATCACCCAGCTGGATAACAGGACATGACCTAAATTAGCCAGCAAAATGACTCCCTAAGGTAAGTCTGCCAAAACCAGAATAAAAGAATTCTGTAGAAATGTGTGTGGAAGCCGACAGACATTCCCCCAAATTCTATAAATATAAGGGACTCAGCTCAGTAATCAGGGAAAGTTACCTGGGATTCAAATTCACTATTTCCTCTGGATGCTTATGAAATTTTCATGAACAGAAGAACCTCAGGTTCCTTCATTTTATAAAGAAAAATCTGATCTGTGTGTAAATACAAGGTTATGTAAATAATTAGTGGAAAGCTTTCTGGGCCCTAATGCGGTATATTAAGGTGAGATAATTTCTTTATTCCCTCTCAAGTGAAGATGAGAAGAGAAATACAAGAATCTGAAACAGGCTATAAATCTCCATAATCTCTGCTTACAAAGAGGCCCATTCCAACTCAGAAATATTTACTTAACGCAGAATCTTGAAATTGTAGAAGTCTTTGGGTTTGGAGCTTTATAACTATTTACTCAGCTGATTATCTCCATTTCTTACAGTGAAATGTGAAACTTGTTTGTTAATAGGATATGTGCATCTTGAAATCTTCAAGATAGGCAAAAAATGTCAGAGTTAGGTTTTCCCATTTGGGTGCCAAACTTATAATCTTAACCTCTTCCTCTTCTTACTTCTATTATTCTGATTTCAGAATAATGTCCAACACCATTATATACATTTCTGTAGCATTTTCATTTTCCAGCGTGCTTTCCTTATTAGACTTATATCTCTCAACAATTGTCATTAGCTTTATCATCCTCACTTGACCAATGAGGAAATCAAACTTAGCAAGGATTCAGTGACCCTCTTCTAAGATCACATGAGTAAAGGGGAAGCCTGATTTAAAAAAAAAACAACAAGCAAAAAGACAGGGTTTCTGAGTCATTCTTTCTTTCTTTTATTCAATATTATCTACCAATATGACTGTGTGTTTTTCATGTGCACTGAGGATAAGTGGTTCTAAAAAAAAGTCACTCAAGATCCTTTCTTAAATCTTAGCTTATATCCAGGTCAGTTATGTTTCATTCCAACACACAGTAAAAGCAATCAGTGTTATCAGTGAGTTTACAAACTAGTCAAAAGGTAAACTAAACCTGAGATATCAAGTATAAAGAAATAAGAGATTTTTAAGGTAACAATATAAAACAAATTATAAATGTGCTGAGGTCAACCAGTGACCAGATAATCAGAGCCAATCAGAACCATAGACATAACTGAGAAAGACTATCTGGAGGTCACCTTCACTGCTCCCTCCCAGCCTTACTGCCCCAATCATGCTACAGCTCCCAGATTCAGTCATACCAGGCTGGTTTCGTTTCAGAGCACACCTCATGCAATCTCATCATGTCTTTCTACAATCTGTATTTCCTTTATATCTTCTCTGGTGCTTCTGTTATTTAAAAGTGATTTGCTTGTCATTTTATTTATCCTTCAAAGTATAGTTCAAAAGTTCCCAAGACGGATAAAATTACTGTTGTTTAGGAACCCTCAACCAGTAACTGGGGCCTCCTAGGAATGTAAGAGACTCTAGGAAATAAGGAAAAGTCAGTTAATAATAACTCATCAAAGTTTCTCATCCTCATGAAATCAGGAGACTATTAGAGACTGAGAAAGTGATGATGTGATGTTTCAAGCTCATCCCCTAATTCAATAATTTTATTGAGCAATAACTATTTTATTTTTCTAAATAAAAATACATCATTAAATAAGATAAATTTACCCTTATGATGTTTTTATTATGATAGCAAGACAGATGATAATAATACATATATAACAGCACACATACATATATAACTTATATAGCTTGTCATGAGTATAAAAACTCAAAAAAACAATAAGGTTATATTTGAGGGAAATGTAGACATTTTGGTTGAATCTCCAGCACTTGCTTCATCTCTTGATGAAAACAGCAATGCATGATTTAGAGAATAACTTTAGTTCAAATGGTGATGACTCATAAATTATTTCCATCTACTTTATCAATGATTGGTTCAAGCATAATCATGTGACCCAGTTTCAGTCAATAAAATGTAAAACCAGTTTACTGTGGGCATTTGAGAAAGTTTAAAAAAAATTTTTTTTTATGCTAGAGCCCTAAGAAATCAATAGTTTTATTGTATTAACAAGCAGACTTGTGGCCCAGATTCTCCCTGAAACCACCATGAAAGAGGAATCAGCGTTAGGAGGCAGATAATGATTTGGAAACTGGAGTTAAAAAACGAAATAACTTGTTAGGGTACTAAGCCAATCACCTGAAATTCACCTGACCTCAGGATCTCCTCCTGTAGGATCTAATGTTTCCTGTTGTTAACATAAACTTGAACCATATTTTCTTTTACCTGTTTCTGAAAACAAATGACACAAAAAGCTAGACGGTCAGGCAAGACCTCTCTGAGAAGGTGATATTTGGACTGAAACCTAAATGATAAGTAGTCAACTGGCCAAAGGTCTGGAGGAGTTGGAGACAGTCAGGATAAAGATGCTAAGGAGTAAAGAAGAAACAATCAGCTTTTTGAGGGACAGAAGGAAAGCCAGTGTGACTGATGAAGTGTGAGCCAAAGAGAGAATGGGATAAGAACAAATTGAAAGATACACAAAAGTCAAGAGTTTTAACTGAGGTTTTAATAGATTCACAACAACCTCTCTTTGAAAAGTTTAGCAGAAATTGAAGTTTTGGTTATTCTTTCTGAAGTCATATATTTTTCATGACATCCAATGCAAAGAACACCTTAAATGCTCTCCAGACCCTCAGCTAAGATCAACATCTGGAATTTGCAGATCCTAAATTAGATGATTCAGATAGAATGCTAAATAATATACATCCTTTTGCTGGGTTATAAAAATCCAAGAACATAGTTGGAAAAGCTTTGATGATAAAGAATTTATTGTAGGACAAATGGAAAGAGAAAAGAGACCATCAATATTCATACTTCTGGGCATACAACAATTCTGCTTTAAAGTGATTTTTAAATATTCAGAGATGAATGGAGAATTAGAGCATTAAACTATAACTGCTTATCTTCATAGCTTGTCTTATTGATTCTAAATCCTTAATGTATTGTAAAATTAACTGCTTCATACTTTACTCATCTGAATAACATTTGTACTTATTCTATTTTAAACCTAATTGTTTAGTTAAGGGTGTATGTATCTATGTCTTTCCCAGTAGATTGTAAATTCCTGGAGAAGAGACAACTTTGAAATCTCTTTTGAATTCCCTCATCATCTGACAGCTCTATCAATTTAACACAAACTGAGTACATTTTTGATGAATTAAATGCTCCTTAGTTGCCATTTAACACTGGCAGACAGGTGCTAAGATTCCATTTTTCAATAATTATATAGAATGCATACTAGGTAAGCTCATTCCAATAGTTTATGATAATATTTTATACAAATGAAGTATTCTATTTCAGTTTATGAATAATTACAAGTTTTTTGGGTCTATCTTAGAAATTTGACTGATGTCTGAGTTTCAGAAACCAATAATTCCTTCATTTGTTTCATAGAAACAACTGCTTTAATTGTAAACATCTGTTTAAAAACGTACTTTCATTCACAATATTCTTTAGATATTGGGTTCCTTAAGGAATCAGTTTCTGGCACCCAACATTTGGTTTTGATGTCCTTCCTGTGTGTTCCCAGAGCAACCTGGTTTGTATGACTCAACCTATGTAGTTTAGTCTTATTTTGATAAACTATACATGTTTGGTTGATTAAGAAAAAGTCTGTGACATCCAACTTCCTTCCCACTCACAAGTGCTTATCAATAAGATAGTCAATATAACAATGTCTACATATGACTGATAAATAAATAAATGAATAAATA